CACATGATCCTTGCCTTTAGTGTATTTGAACGCATGAAACAATAGCAAAAAATGCAAGATGGTGTATTTTTAAAAAATTGTGGTAAAAAACATGTAACATAAAATTTACTATCCTAACCATTTTTAGGTGTATAGTTCAGCAGTGTTAAGCATATTCATATTGTTGTGCAAGATAGTATATATTTAAATGAAAAATTATTTGAAGAAGAGAAATGCTGTAGAGAAGTATAATTCAACATGTGCTCCATGAAACCACTCAAAATTCAATTTTGTTTGAAGAAACATTTTATTTATCTTATTAATTTAATTTATACTTGAACACTACCACAATTAGAATTTGGAGAGGGAAAGGGTGATTATTGAAGGCCAGAGTAATCGGGGAAGGATGGCTTCATGGAAGAAGAGAAAGACTTAAACTGGGCCTTAAGGAATGAGTAGGAATTGAATAGGCTGTGAGCAGGTAAAAGGAAAAGCATTCTGCTTGAGGGAAATGATCAAATCCCAGATGTAGAAATAGACATTGCCTCTTTCTAGGTCCATGAGAAGACCTACATTATTAGAATTTATTATTCATTTTGAGAGTGAATGGCATGAGAGGCAATATAGTATAATATAATATTTCCCACAATGGGTTCCATCGAATGTGAGTGTTATAGAGGAGGGAGGGTAAATTAATTCATGTTTTTTTCCTGCAAGACTCCTGTGACATTTTAATGTTGCTGTGCATTCAGAATCTTCTAGAGGTTATATCCAACGTATTTTTTTTTTCCTTTTTGTCTTTTTTTACTGACCGGTAACGGGATCGCAACCCTCGGTGTCGCGCCCGTACCGGGGACCGGCAACGGAATCGCAACCCTCGGTGTTGCGCCCACACCGCGCTCAGCCAGTGAGTGGGAACCGGTCTCCACATGGGATCCGAACCCTCGGCGGGAGTGCCGCCGCGCTCCCAAGTGGCGCACTCTCCAGTGCGCCACCGGGCCGGCCCGATATATCCAACGTATTTTAAGTTTACTTGACCAAAGGAAGCTTTCTCCTTCTGGAACCATTCTTTTCTTGGGCAGCAACTTGAAAAGTGCACCATGCCACTTATAAGTTGTATGACTTGATCAAGATGTTTAATCTACCAGATCCTCTTAAACGAGAGCTGTTTATATGTAAAAGGTGAGATTATTTTGTCTGAGTCCCTCACAAAATGTGTTGCCACCAGAGATTTGAATGGAAGTTATTGAAGTTATTTCACCACTTATATAGAGCATTTGAGAGCCCTGTGCCACTGTGTTCCATAACCTCTGCTCCTGTTGTTTTTGTACAGTAGTTCCCCCTTATCTGTGGTTTTGCTTTCTGTGATTTTAGTTACCTGCAGTCAACCTCAGTCTGAAAATATTAATGAGAGATCACATTGACATAACTTTTATTACAGCAATTGTTATAATTGTTTTATTATTAGTTATTGTTGTTAATCTCTTACTGTGTCTAATCTATAAATTAAACTTTATCATAGGTATGTATACATGGTAAAAAAACAATGTGTATAGTGTTCAGTACTCTCTGGTTTCAGTAATCCACTGGGGGTCTTGGAATGTATCCTCTGCAGATAAGGGGGACTACTGTATTCCTCCAAGCATTTTCTTTCGATAGCCATCCTTAATTTTAACTTTTTATCTTGGACTACTGTTAAATTTGCTAAGCTCAAAGTAGCCCTAGTATTTCCATGGAACTAGCTCTTAACAGTCCTTCTAGCCACATACCTAGTCACTTGTTTACACATTTTGATTACAGGTATAGATTATAGTAATGTTCACCCACTGTCTTGCCTTCCTCTTTTTTTTTTTTCTTTTTTCTTTAGAAAATTTATTATACATACATGTGGGGTACAACGTTGATTTTCAGTAATTGTGTACAATGTGTGGTGGTTAGATCAGTATAGTTAGCTTATTCATCATTATAATATGCAATAATTCTTTATGTCCATTGACCAACCCTCATTACCCCTCCCCTGCCCTTTTCCACCTCTAGTTTCTAAAAGTTCAACATATTACTGTGCTTGTTGTTTCTTTCTTTCCCTCTGTTTCTCTTTATTGTTCATATGTTTATTTATGGATTTAGTTCCTGGTTATGAGTGAGAACATGTGGTATTTCTCTTTCTGTACCTGGGTTGTTTCACTTAGAATAATTTTCTCCAGGCTCATCCATGTTGCTGCAAAGGGTAGAATTTCATTCTTTTTTATGCCTGAGTAATATTCCATTGTGTATATATACCACAATTTCCTTATACAGTCATCCATGGATGGATATTTAGGTTGGTTCCATTGCCTGGCTATTGTAAATAGAGCTGTGATAAACATAGGAGTGCAGGCATCCCTTCAGCCTGATGTTTTCCAGTCCTCTGGATATATCCCCAGTAGTGGGATTGCTGGATCACATGGAAGTTCTGTGTGTAGTTGTTTAAGGGACCTCTGTACTGTTTTCCATAATGGCTGTACTAATTTACAGTCCCACCAACAGTGCAGAATGGTTCCTCTTTCTCCACATCCTCACCAGCATTTGTTATTCTCTTATAATAGCCAGTCTGATTGGGGTGAGGTGATATCTCAGAGTGGTTTTGATTTGCATTTCCCTGATGATTAGTGATGTTGAGCATTTTTTCATATACCTGTTGGCCATTTGTATGTCTTCCTTTGACAAATGTCTATTCAGTTCCTTTGTCCATTTTTAAATTGGATTATTTGTTTTTTTGCTGTAAAGTTGTCTGAGCTCTTTGTATATTCTGGATATCAATCCCTTGTTGGTTGCGTAGTTTGCAAATATCTTCTCCCATTCTGTGGGATGTCTTTTCAAGATGTTGACTGTTTCCTTTGCTGTGCAGAAGATTTTTAGTCTGATATAATCCCATTTGTTTATTTTTTCTTTGGTTGCCTGTGCTTTTGGGGTGTTATTCATAAAGTCATTGCCCAGTCCTAAATCCTGGAGTGTTTCCCCCTAGGAATTTTAAAATTTCAGGCCTTTTATTTTAAGTTTCTAATCCGTTTTGAGTTGACTTTGATATATGTGAGAGGTACTGATCAAGTTTCATTCTTCTACAAATGGATATCCAGTTTTCCTAGCATCATTTATTGAAGAGGCAGTCTTTTTTTTTTTTTTTTTTGGATCTGAACCTGTGGCCTCTGTGTTATCAGCACTGCACTCTTCCGAGTGAGCCACGGGCCGGCCCAAAGAGGCAGTCTTTTCCCCACTGTCTGTTCTTGATGCCCTTGTTGAAGATCAGTTGGCTGTAAATACGTGGGTTGATTTCTGGCTTCTCTGTTCTGTTCCATTGGTCCATGTATCTGTTTTTATGCTAGTACCATGCTGTTTTTGCTACTATAAATTTGTAATATAGTTTGAAGTCAGGAAGTGTAATGCCTCTGGCTTTTCTTTTTTTGCTCAGCATTGCTTTGGCTATTAAGGGTCTTTTGTTGTTACATATGAATATTAGGTTTACTTTTTCTATTTCTGTGAAGAATGTCATTGGTATTTTGATGAGGACTGCATTGAATCTATAGATGGTTTTGGGTAGTATGGACATTTTTATCACATTGATTCTTCCAATCCAGGAACAAGGAATGTCTTTCCATCTTTTAGTGTCATCTTTGATTTCTTTCAGTAGTGTTTTGTAGTTCTCATTGTAGGGATCTTTCACCTCTTTGGTTAGACTTATTTGTAGATATTTTATTTTTTTGGTGACTATTATAAATGTGCTTGCTTTTTTGATCTCTTTTTCTTCTAGTTTGTTTTTGGAGTATACAAATGCTACTGATTTTTGTATGTTGATTTTGTATTATGCAACCTTACTGAATCATTGATCAGCTGTAAGAGTTTTTTGGTAGAGTCTCTTGGGTTTTCTGTATATTGAATCATGTCATCTGTGAACAGGGACAATTTGATTTCCTCTTTATCTATTTGGATGCCCTTTATTTCTTTCTCTTGTCTAATTGCTCTGGCAAGTACTTCCAATACTATGTTAAATAGGAGTGGAGAGAGTGGGCATACTTGTCTTGTTCCTCATCTTAAGGGGAAAGTTTTCAGCTTTTCCCCATTCAGGATGATATTGGCAGTTGGTTTATCGTATACGGCTTTTATTATGTTGAGGTACTTTCCTTCTGTACCTATTTTGTTGAGAGCCTTTATCATGAAGGACTGTTGAGTTTTGTCAAATGCTTTTTCTGCATCTGTTGAGATGATCATATGGTTTTTGTTCTTGACTTTGTTGATGTAGTGTATCACATTTATTGACTTGTGTATGTTGAACTGTCCTTGCATTCCTGGGCTGGTGGGTTAGCTCAGTTGGTTAGAGTGTGGTGCTGATAACACCAAGGTCCAGGATTTGTTCCCTGTACTAGCCAGCTGCCAAAATATACTGTTTTTTTTTTTTAAACTATTGTAATTCATAGTATCTAAAAAATTCAAATTATTAGAATTGAGCTGCTAAGGTGCCTATTAAGAAATTACATATTCTTAATTAAATATAAGTCCTCACTATAAAAATTAAAACAATACATAGAGAAGTGAAAAATCCACGTTTTTCTCCACCTAATCCCACTTCTTCAGGGTTAACCACTATTTAGTTTATGTGCCCTCCTAAACCTTTTTAAAAAATGTGCAAACAGGTGCAGTCGTGTGCCACATAATGATGTTTCAGTCAGCAATGAACCACATATATGACAGTGGTCCCATAAGATTATAATGGCTGTACCATATATCCTAGGTGTGTAGTGGGCTTTACCATCTAGGTTTGTGTAAGTACACTCTATGATGTTTGCACAATGATGAAATTACCTAATGATGTATTTCTCAGAACATATCCCTGTTCTTAAGCAATGCATGACTGAATATACTATATGTAAAATTTATGAACAAGAAAGGGGGATTGTATACACTCGATTCTGAGAATTGAATTTTTACTCAAAAAAATTAAGCCAAAATTTAAAACTTAATGTGATCAATGTGTTTTTTGACTTTAGGGAAGAAACCCTTTTTTCTTGGAGCCAGCAATAATTATTACAATTACTGATGGGAGCAAGTTGACTACTACTAGTGGAGTCCAGGATGAGGTAAGTTGTTCTTATATCATGTGGATTATGCAAATACAGTTTAAAAATCTTTATTTGTATATGCACTGTAGGATATTGAACACCTTCAATAGGTTCTCGCTTAGATTATTTGATGTAGTCTAGAGTCCTCTGTCTCCTAGGGCTTATTTACCTTTGTTTGTAGCAGTGGTCACTATGTTTTCTTGAACAGGAATCCCTACTGTGAAAAACTTTTGAGCGTACTCTCTACCTCAGTTATATTTATGAACTTATATGAGAGTGACACTGTCAGTTTATATTGTAAATATTAGTAAAATGAATTCTTATTTTCAGGTTTAAAAAAATGGGAGCAGCACTGTAATAATTTCTTCCTATATTTCAGTGATTTGTTGTGTGTACTCCACTGTGGAGACCTCTAGGCTGGAGTACAGCAAAGCCAAGAGGAGGTTAAGATTAGGAAAAGTGAAGGTTTTTGGACATTTTTATTTTCTTTAAGCCAAGAACAGTATAAATAATTTATAGTGAACTTTACTTTTCTCTGCCACCATGATTATGCAGAGCTGTGTGTGGTGTGGTAGGGTAAATACAATAGATTTATTTTTTTAATTTTAAGGTGTTTTTACTGTAGTATTTGAGCTGCTCTTGAACATTCTGTGTATTTGTTTTTTAACATATACTGATATAGAAAGGTGATTGTTTAAACTACTCTCTTTACCTTTTGCATTTGCTTTAGGGTCTAAATTTTAATTCCTTTGTTATTTATAAGGGCTCGATTAAGTAGGAAAATATAGATTTTTAAATTCATAGCTTTTAGATTTATTTTTATTTGTGTGACATTGTGAAATATAAATTGGACATGGAGTCAGGGCACATGGGTTCTAGTCTTGGTTTAACTACTTTCTAGCAGTGAACTTTGTACCAGGGACCTAACTTCCTTAAATTTCTATCCTTATGCCTGAAATAAAGATAATTCTTACCTTACATCATAGGATTGTTGGAAGTCTGAAATGAAATAATGTATGTGAAAGTACTTGGTAGGCTGTAAAGAAAAGTTCTTAGTATTGTTCTATCATGAAACATTGGAACCAGTACAGTGAAGAATTGTGATTGGCTGATGTTGGTTTGGGGGAAGAGAGCTAGAATTTTTTTTTTTTTTTTTTTTTGAGCGGTTGATATTAGGGGGAATTTAAGATATAATTCATGGAGATAGAGGTGAAAAATTTAGGTAGATTATAATCCATAATTTAATTTATAGTCTGTATACAATTACTAGCCTTGGAATGTTCCATAGCTGAATTTAAGGGATTTTTGGGCTTTCTTAGACTTAATTGACATGTGTAGCCAATTGTGGCCCTGCCTCTATCTGGAACAGATAGACATTGCTTATATAATAAAAAAAGCAACAGAAATGACACAACTTCAAGTTTGAAACTCTCAAATTGATTTTTTCCTCTTAATAGGACCCTTAATAATTAACATCTTCATTCAACTTTATTTTGTATAAATTAGAAGTCATTTGATTGTTTTGTTTTCATCCTTAATGATTTTGACTGAAAAGTTATTTCTATTTTCTATTGTGAAGTATTCCTGTATGTGTGATTATCCATTGAAGGTGCTCTGTCTACTTATTGCTTCTGTAGAAATGCCCTTTGAGTGCAATGTATTTTGTGCCCATATATCTGGATCTGTTTTGTTTGTAAAATTTGTTTTGTGACACCAACTCTAGCTTTAAAATATCTTGAAATATACATGCATATTGTAATTGTTCGCCTTTCTTCCTGGGTCCTTCCTTGAAAAGGGTATTGGAGAAATGTGACTGTGTGTTTACAATAAACTGAAACTACCTTGCTGGTAAGGTTGGGAAGATTTTCGTGTGGCAGAGATCTTACCTTTTAATTCTCTTTTGTTTTCTACAATATTTAGCATGGTATGGAGAACAGAGCTTATATTTTAAAAAAGATTGATTATAGATATTGTTGTGTTGAATCTGGTAGTCATAAAGTTCAAAATTGATTACTATTTCTACTTCTTATCTGAGGCAGAAGGTTCATTTATTTTAAGGCAAAGATTTATTTTGATTATGAAGTTGCAGCATGGGCTTGTCAGTTGTTTTGATATTCAAGCTTAGGAACGTCTTTTATTCCCTGCATGTTTTGTTCTTAATGTCCCAATGAGGCTCATCTTGTTAGGGCAGAGAGAAAATATAATCCAGATGTACATATTGTTGAAGCTTAATTTTTGCTAAAATGTGAAATACTATGAAATATTCTAGCCTGAATAATTAAATTATGTGATTTATTTTAAGGAGCCTATTAATTCACAGAAAAGCATTAAAGACGCTTTTTGTATCGGTCTTGTGTGTATATATGCATGTGCATACATGCTAGATATGATCTATACTGTTGTAATTTCTAGTAGGTAATAAACAAAATTTTGCCTTTATATCTCTTTCACTTCAAATCTCCTAACCTTTGCCTTTGGCAGAACATGATTGTTTTTTAGATATATTGAATGAGTGGATATGTCAGTAATTTCCATATTAGGGATGTGTGTCTATAATTCTTGGTTGGCTATGGCTGCTGTTGGTGTGACCTATTACTATGTATGTAGTTGTGTGTTCCACCTGTTTGATATCCTTTGCTCAAGAGTCATATCATCTGACCTGGTATATTAGATCTGTTCTGTTAGTACTTTTTTCCAGGAGTAAGTATTCTTGCTGTTTTAAAATCTTCCTCATAGTACATGAGGAAATATAGAGTTCGTTTAGCCTTACCTTTTATTTTACAAACGAACAAATTGAGATCCAGGAGGCAAAGTGGTTTGCTTAGGTTATAGCATGTGTTATTGCCATAATCTAGATTAGAATTTATGTAAATTCCGAAGGTATCCCAGCCCCTCCAGACCAGTGCTTTTTTCTTGATATACCTACTACCTGTTTGTTTGATTCTATTTTTGTGTGTTCTTAAAATTTACCTTCTTTTTTCCTGATTTCTTGTTTGTCTATTTCAGTTTTCTATACAAGTGTGACATAGGTATTCTTTTCTTACTCATTCAGTGTTCCATGAATGACCATTATGACCAGAGCATTTCTAGGCTATGTGGATAACAAAGATGAAAAGTATAGATTTCTGGTTCTTAAAGTTCACAGTATACTGGGGAGATTGCCTATTAAATGGTCTTATGAGTGATAAAATAGAGATACATACTAAATATATGTATGGGAGCACAAAAGAGGTGGAGAAGGGTTGATATTGCATGTGTTGTGTGTATATCAAATCTTGTGTAATGTGACTTTTTATAGTATAATTTGATTTTTGATTGGCTAAATTCATGGATCTTATGGATGATTTGAATATAGGGTATAGCTCATATCTTGTATCTGTGAAATTTATAAAGAAGCCCAGTGAAAAGTTGTTTTGAGCCTAGAAAATAGTTAATGGAAAAACTTGGTACCATATTGTCTCTTCACCTGGCTAAGTACATACAGGCCAAAAATGACCCAAATTCTTGTAACTTATTTGTTGAAAGAACATAAGAATACCATGTCCTCTGTGACAGCTCATCTCTTAGCAATATGTTATGGGTTAGGAGAGAAGAGTAATAGCTTTGTTCTGTGGGTGAAAATCTTGAGCTGTACATGATCATTTTATATTAATTCATGACTTTAATTATCTTTTTGGGCCTGATTTAATAAAAAGTCTAGGCCGTTGTCTGAGATGTCATGAGTGCGTTTCTAGTGTAGTATTTTTTGGATAACTGTTTGGGACTTTTGATGATTGTTTGGATTGGAAGTTTATGTGTATTTTTGCCTTCTTTTTCATAAAAAATGTAGCTATTTGATAAAACTATTTGCAATATTTTTATTTATGAGGAAGTGAGTTAGATATGACTTTGAATTCTGACACACAAGAAAACTTTATTGCTTACCCTCATAGTAGTTATCTTTTTTTTTTTTTTTCCTTTTTGTCTTTTTTCGTGACCGGCAATGGATCGCAACCCTCAGTGTCGCGCCCGTACTGGACCGGGACCGGCCACCGGATCGCAACCCTCGGTGTTGCGCCCGCACCTCGCTCAGCCAGTGAGCGGCCGGTCTGTATGTGGGATCCGAACCCTCGGCGGGAGTGCCGCCGCGCCCCCAAGCGGCGCACTGTAGCAGTGTGCCACCGGGCCGGCCCCCATAGTAGTTATCTTTTTTTTTTTTTTTCCTTTTTGTCTTTTTTCGTGACCGGCAATGGATCGCAACCCTCAGTGTCGCGCCCGTACTGGACCGGGACCGGCCACCGGATCGCAACCCTCGGTGTTGCGCCCGCACCTCGCTCAGCCAGTGAGCGGCCGGTCTGTATGTGGGATCCGAACCCTCGGCGGGAGCGCCGCCGCGCTCCCAAGCGGCGCACTGTAGCAGTGTGCCACCGGGCCGGCCCCCATAGTAGTTATCTTTGATATTGATAAATATACCTGTGGCCAGATACTCATAGTACCGTTCATCATGCTATATTACTGATATATCAAATATTTTGGTAGAATCACTAAATTATTATTGAAGTTATTGAAAAACATTTTTTCTGATTTTTATTTTCTACAAGATTCTCTCTAGTGCTGCTTTGCAATAGAAAACTATCCTGTACTATGATTCCAGGAACACATGGCTGACTATATTGCTCAATAAAGCAACCCAGAAGAAATCTTGCCAGTACCTTCTTAGTGATGAATGACATTTCAGGGTAGTGTAGCAGTTATTTTTCTCTTCCTTGAAAGTGCTAATAATAGTATTATCTTTCAAATATTGAGATTTCTATATGCTGAAGAATCCTCCTGCATCTCTTTATCAATGTTATGATTGCCCTGAAGGCTAACATTTTAGAGAAGATATTTGCAGTCAAAATAAATCATTGGCTTTTGACATTAACAGTTTTGCTTTCTTACTAGCTTTCCCAGCTTTTTAAGATGCAACTAAGACAACTACTTTTATAACTTCTTGGGACGTATGTTCAGTAAAGGCTTGTGTTTATAGAAAAAGAATG